TTTTTTGTACGGCACTTTTCCAAATTTTTTTTTTTTTTTTTTCTCGCGAATTTTTCTACAACACCCAAAACAATTTTCGTTAAAAAAATACATATAAAAAACCCCCCCCCCCCCCCACCCCCACCCCCCAAATGGGGACACACACCCCCCCCCCCCCCCCCCCCCCCACCCCCAATCTCTTTTTTTAAATTAAAGGTCTCCAGATCATAGCCAGACGTTTCAACACTTTCTGCAATACTGCAGGCAACACTTTGTTCTCGATGTAGATACAATTTGCAACAATTAGGCAATTCCATTCCTGAAGATCGATATAAGATATAAACTTTGCAGATGTAACGTTTTACTATTACTATTATTATTATTATATATATATATTTTTTTTTACTAGCCCTGAAGATATCCTTTTTCCTGTTTGTATGCTTGTTTGTTTCTTTCTTCTTCCAGTATTTTTTCCCTTCTGCCACGCTGGCACGTGCATGATGAGAGCCAATCAGGAAACACTTTCCTGATGGCGAGGTTGCTCGACGGCGCCACGTTCAAAATTTTGAATTCTGTGATAATTATTCACTTGGCATTGTGAAAAAACACACGAGAGTACGTTATGCGACAAACAGTTTTGTGGACTCTAAGAAGTTATTACTCTTACGCAAGCCAGTTTTTCTTGCCCTCATTCTTTACTTTGTTATAAAAACTGTAAAGGTAAGAAACTTCTAAGATAACTAGAAGAAATTACAAACTGTAGACGCTTAACGCTTTGCATATATACCTTTAGCAGTGAAATTGTAACCCTTAGTCTGACAAACTACACTTAAAACTAGATTGTTTTGTCCCATTATTGAATTTCCCTGTTTGCTAATTTTTAGACATTAAGGAAATTACTAGTTGAAGTAAAAAACTACAAAATATTAAGCTCAGTGTGAAACAGCGATGAGATTTGATTCCGAACGAAATAACACACGTGGCCGAGACGGTTTGTGTTGGCCAGCAACATTACAAGCAACCTTCAGGTCATTGTCTAGCATTATGAATTTATTTTGATTTAGTGAACGGTATTTTTTACTGAAACTTCATAATTTTCAATGCGTATTTACAAAATGAGGTAACTGGTCTCCTTTAAGCCTAACTTTGTGTAAGAACTACGTATACTGCTTTGACATGTCAAACACTGCATATCTTGCGGGAACATTTCATGATGAATTTGATGAAATATCTACATAGCCTCAAACTGTTAACATAATGTTTCCCCATGCTGTATGTTTTACAAAAACAAACGCCATAAAGTACGGAGAGTTAATTATACTTGTGGTGTATGCAAATATATCGTGCCGTCGAACTTTCTCTAGTTATTCGGTTGAGCTATTCTTACTACTATGTACGCTTAATATAATAACATGACAAATAACAGTCGCGGGTTTTTACAACAATATATTTTGCTATTTTTTATTTACTTCATTTCTTTTTGCATTGGCTAGTTTCGCGTGGAGTGGTGGCCATTCTTCGACAGTGGCTCCAGTTATTAACTGCAAAGGAGGCTTAAGGTATTAAAATTTCTATGCTCACAACTTGCGAAATTTGTACAGCATTATAAAACATGCATTTTACCCCAAAAGCGGGGAAAACTGCAATTTGAATATGAATAAAATGGCTTGACCTCTTGCCATGGTAATTGGACCTTTTTATGTGTATTTCCTCATTTAAACGATGCTTTGTCTCCTTTACAATTTTCAGATCAACAGATCAGCCCATTTTTCACCACACCAAGGAACTTTCCGTTAAGACCGGCAGATCCTCAGACCAATTCCTTTGGCAGATCAATAGACCGTGTTATTTTCCACTGGCAGTCCACCAGAACAGGTCACCAGCCTCGGACAGTCCAACAGACTAGACCATTCTCCTCAGACAGACCTCCAGACCAGGCTACCCTCCTAATAGTTACCGATCAGTCTGATATTTACACAGCACGCCCAGCTTCCAGAGACAGCATCAGCTTCCGAGCCACATGTCATTCAGGTCAGATCTATCCCTTATGGGTTGGGTCAAGGGGGATTAATGTATAAAGCGCTGGATGAACCTTGCACAGCATACTTTCCACACACGTTCGGCTTGAAGTCCCTGGACTTCTTTTCGGCTTAACTTAATTGTAGTTAGAGTAGTTAGTTGCGTTCCCTGGGCTGGTAAGGGCCTCCCCTATCCCTTTTTCAATCTTGGGTTTCTTTGCAGGTATTCAGTCAGCGACAGAATTTCGGCTTAAGTTCGTTTCTTCGTTCGTCTTTCGGATGCATTTCGCCGTCGACATCTTCTTCGTCGTCGTCTTCGTCGTCGTCGCCGCCTTCGCTTCAGTCTCCCGCTTAGTTGCGCCAATTCGATTTCACTTTTACACTTCACTTGACAGTCAACGCGCTGAGCAAGTGAAGCTTTTATCCGCAAGGTTCAACCAGATAGTGATTTATTTATGTAATCTTAGGAGACTTGAGACTAAAGACCATTCAGCTATTGTAGATGGACCTCATTTGGGCACCTCCTATAAGTTGAGTGGTTTCTCTTGTTACAGGTAGTTAATTAGTAAAGCCTCACAAATTTGGGTCTGCTTCACGTAAAACGACCAAAACATTAAAGGTTGCTAGTGTTTGATCTCTATTGGAAGGAACGAGGAAAACTAACGATTGAAAATCCAGCGTTTTAGATGAGTAATTGCTACCAAATTTGTGAGCGTAGACGAGCTTACAGTTTAGTCTTACAAACCTGCGACCAGGCGTTCCTTCTCAGCAAAGGCCAACACCTTGTTGCAGGTTATGAAGGGTAATACGGGACAACGCACACACCATAAGCTAGACCGTTTACAAATTGTAAGCGTAGGTAGTCTTAAAGAACCATCCACGCTGCTTTTTCATCGCCGGAGGGACAACATGAAGCTGGAAGGCTGTTAGTTAAGTTAGTAGCCTGTGGTGTAAACACAAGAATATCATAGGCTGCAATCATATTTCGGGAACACGCATGCGTAGGAAACCCTCACCTTCGCTTGTGTGTACCTGAATTTGCGCTTAATGCTACTCTTGTGTAGACTTCACAGGTTATAGATAGATGTATGAGGATTGTCAGGTAATGGGGGATATCTCTTGTCACGACATCATTAACACTGAGAGGAAAAGTTTTCTCTTCTTGTTAATCTTGCCTTGAGAGAGAATTCTCTTCAGGAAGCCCTGCATTGCAGTACGCAGGCACAGATCGCCTGCAAATGGTAGGCGTAGGTAGCCTTCACATCGATAGTCCAATGATAGCGGCTGCTTCGTCCTACATGAATTGTCAGTAGTTTTATTCTCCTGTCAAAT